GATGGCCACCGAATATAACGAACAAAGCTTTTGTTAACGATGTTTGCGGTCACGATTTAAAGATGCAGCCCAAGGTTTCTTTATCCTCCTCGGGGTCGATTGATTCAATTACAACGTTGGTGGGGCAATTTTCCGACGATGGTTATAGGAATGCTTCAAAAAATTGAAGAAAAGAAAAAAAAAAAAAAAAAAAACAAACAAACACTAGCAAATCTGCACTCACCGTATAAAGAAAAATGGGAGATCGAAAAAACCGCAGTTCATCCTTGTTTTGTCGGCGGCGCCGTCTGCACCGCCCTAGCCATGTTTTCTTCCACATCGTGAAATTATAGAGAATGAATTTTAGGGTTTGGGTGAAGATAGGAAATAATATATTATCTGGTAAAAGGGGTAAATTAGGACATTAATATAAATTGTGTTATGTATTTATTTAATTAAATAAATTAGGGGGGTCTCACTAATATTGAAAAAGGGGTGGGATCCATCCTCATTTATCCATTTAAGTGAGGGGGTTTTTACTAATAATCCCTTGGAAAAATTAAGACTTTTGTGGCTTCAAATCTTTATTTATTAATTCATTAATCCTTCATAAATTCAAAAGTGACACCTAATATGAAAAATAAAATTTTGGCTACAAATACTTTAAAAAAAAGGGAGGAGTAATGTTTTTACTTGTTCAAAAGAAAAGAAAAATTATGTAAGGATAGAAAAAAAATAATAATAATAAAAAAATTGTACGGTATTGGTATTATATAATCAAATTGACACGGTCAAAACATTTGGAACCAAATGAATGCAAATTTGTCAAGGTCATATTCAAACTATTAACAAAGTCAATAATGCCAACACAAAGTTGCTAAATAAAATAATGCAATTCGTTACTCCACTTGCAATATTAATGGCTACAACTTGCAGGCCAAGGCTTTGACATAATTAAAACTATAAAACCCCATACAATACAATTTTTCTCAAATTATTACACCAAACAACTTTCATTTGCCCTTTGGGCTTTGATCAAATTAGTGATGAAGATGAAAGCAAAGAAAAAGCTATCCACCATAAAAGAACCGACCACAAAGTCGGAACCGCTAATCGCAATTCTGCGCGGGAGTCGTGAATCCATAAATAGCATGTGCAATTTGGGCGCGACCAAGTCGTGGCTACGAGAGACGAGCACTAGTTGCGGCGGGGATCATCGTCGTCTCCCATCATTCCCACAACTTCATTTGTTAGACGACACGCAGTACTATTCGTTGCGATATAATAATTACACCGTTGTGGAAGTCGTAGTTAGCCAAATCCTTCCAACTAATTACAACGACGCCAGAATTCCATCTAGATTCGGCCGCGTAGTAGAGGAATATTCAGGGAATATTCCCGATCTGCTGTTGACCGGGATCGCTCGTCCGTCGTTCGTCGCCTACAACTGGAATCCTCCAAAAGAAGGCCAAGAGTACAGCCTCGAAAGTACTTTGATCAAATACGAGTGCAAAATAATCGACCCTTTCGATACCAAGAAAAGACCGCTCCAATTCACGAGCCTCGTTAATTTCGAAGGCGTGTTTTTCGCGCTTAGCTTGCAGGGGGCTCTCGTAGTTATGCAAGAAATCGACTCGCGTCTTACGATCAGTGCCATAAGCTCGAGCAGGGCTGTTCCGTCGATAAGTTGTAGGCATTTCAAGGAGTACATTGCGTTATTGGACGGAGAAATATTTGTGGTTTTCTTGATACACGAAAAGAGGAGTGAAGTTGTCGACCGAGTCGAGGTTTTTCGTCTTTCGTTTCCCGACCTTAAGTGGATAAAGGTTGAGAGCATAAATGGCAAGATACTGTTCTTGGATCAGTCTTATTTAAACTTGGAGTCGGCAGAATCTAATTCGAGAAAAAATTGCATTTACTTCACCGATCATGGATCGGATCATAACTGGTGGATATATGAAATGGAAACCGGCTGCATTTTACCTACGCCCGAGCATAAAAAATATTAGGGTGAATCTCTAGTCGAAGAATAATTTTTATATGCGCCGTTTTTCTTCCGTGTTTTCGTAGCCGTCTCCGTATTTTCTTAAGGATTTCTCGTAATTCTGCATTTACACTTACAAAAATTACGAAACAAATCAAGGAACAATTAATACAATTTTTTTTTAATGAACCTGTAGTACCTCAGGCCCCACTACCGGTTGTTCTAAACTCAATTGGTGTCAGGAAAGACGCAAACTCTAGCCTTATAGTGCATTCAACACACACAAACAAACGCCCACGACATTTGATTGTGGGCCGCCCATATCCGGACCTCGCCACATGGACAATTGCTGCCAGACCCAGGAATAATAATAATAATAATAATAATAATAATAATAATAATAATAATAATAATAATAATAATAATAATAATAATAATAATAATAATAATAATAATAATAATAATAATAATAATAATAATAATAATAACTGCTGTGGGCAGTTTAGTAGAGACTATGCTGCGTTCTTGTCCTCGACTCTTTCTTCTTCGATTGTCTTCTCTTGCCTTCGACTATCTTTCCCTCTCCATGTTCAGTACTTCTATGAAGGTTTCTTCTTTTTCTTCTTCTTCTTGTTCTCCTTCTTGCTCTTTTTTTTTTTATCTCATCTCCAAGTTCTTCAACAACATTAAAATTTTTATCTTCCTCCTCCACTTTCCTTTTTCCCTTCATCTTGCTCTTCTATTTCCTCTTCTTCCTCCTCCTCTTAAAAAATAAGAGCTTTTCTTCTCTTCTTCTTCCATTATGTCTCTTCCAATCTCACATTCTTCCTTTTCACTTGTTGTGCATTTCCAAAATGTTGTTGCATGCAGTTCACATAAAATAAACAATGATTTGTGTAATACAACAACATCACGTTGGTTTACAAATGGGACATGTCCATCTCATTAATAGTACTCTTCACTTACACGTCTGACTTCCACTTTTCCACCGACCTCCAAAGCTGCAACAATAGGACCAGATAGTTCTTCCACATGTGAAACCAGAAACTCTCTCTTCTTTGTGCACGGAGAATGATATAACCTAATAAACATATAAACAAATTGTACATTTGTTTATTAGGTAAGCAAATAACACAATGAAAATGCATAAAATCAAATTG